TTTTTTTTTTCTGATCCCAAACACAACCGTGCAAAAGAAAAAGTGATATGTTTATTAGACCTCCAGTCAGGTCCTCGGCTGCTTTCGATCTCATTGTTTTGATGGACAAATGAAAAGAAACATAGAGCTGCTGGGTGTTTTTTCCTTTTCTTTTCCAGCCTGGTTTGAACACTGGGATGTTGCTGAGGTTTGAGGAGATGAGTGTGTATCCCATACTGAGAGCGAGATCCCGCTTTCATTGAGAGTTGACAGAACGAGATAATTAGCTCTTTATTTATCTCCCAGCAATGAACGCTTTGTGTTTACGTTTCTGTCATACTTGGTGGTATTTTAATCACTGCATCATAGCAAGGGCTGGATTCTAATTCACATGCTGGCAACCGCTTGGGCTGAAAACGGGAAGCCAGTAAAGTTTCTTTCGTTTCTTTTTTCTTTCTTTCTTTCCTTTCTTAATGAAATAAAGAAGCTCTCAGTCAGTAAGAGAGAAATCAAATTTAGAAAACGAAATCTTTTCCGAGATAGTCCTCTTTGCTTAGCAAGAGAATTTTTAGTATCAAAACTCTTCTTGCCTTGCTTGCTGTACTTTGAGTGACCAAAATACCAGTGGATTTTAGGAACTGGTTTTGGTTTACTTCTGTTACGTTGATACCATGACTTACTTCCTTATTTTCCTGCCTTGGCTGTAAGGTAAACTGCAGTGAGGGGTTGAGGGGGGAGAATAGGTGACTTTATTGGCGTTTGCTTCAATTCAGTGTTTTTATTGGGAACCGCGGTGCTTCCCTGAAGGCACTTGTGCTAGATAACAGTATTGGGCAATTAGCATCCTGAACAGTCCCGTTTCATATAATGAATGTGCTAGGCAAAGCGATTACCCATAGCATTTTATTTCAGAGGGAATACAGCAAATGATGCGTGGGGGATGGGAGGGAGGAAAGGAGGCAGCTCTAAGCCAATTCAGGGCATTGTCTGCCTTTTGTAAACGTTATCTTTGAATTAATACGGAGCAGTAAGAAGGAAAGGGTGTTGTTGTTGCTTTCCTTGTTTCTATTTTTTTCTCCCGAGACAGCAGCTCTTAGGTTACAAGAGATCACAGAACTCTAAAAAACACAAGGAGCCTTTGCGGGTTTGGAAAGGGCCACTCCATGTCCTGGCATGTAAAAGCATCCCGGACTCGGCTGTAAAGGAGCTTTGCTACTTTGAAGGAGTGCTTCATCCCCGGAGGACGAAGTCGGCCACGACGGCTGGGAAGGAGCCGCCCGCCCTCCCGGTGCGTTTGCTCCGCGGCTCGGCCTCGGCGCAAGCTCAAGAGCGGAGCCGTCTCAAGTGCGAAAACTGTCCCGCGGGCTTTAGCAGCCCCCAGATCCCTTCATGTCTGAGTTCCCTCTGCTCCTGTCTCCGCTGAACAGTTAATAAGGCGAAAATACTTAATTTCTGTCTCCCTCCCTCTTTTTATTTTTCCATCTCTTCCTCTCTTTCGGTTTTCCTTTTTGCGTAGATCAAACATAACCTAAGCTGCTGTCAAGACTGCAGCCACCCGGTCAGTTCCTCGGGAACAGGTTAGCAGGAGCGGTAATTTGGGTGTCCAAAGTCGAGTGGCTGAGGCGTCCTTGTCTCTTTAAGGCTCGGAGGAGCAGGGGCTGAAAGGAAGGCACTATTTCAAGTGGCCCAAATTAATTTGATCGCGACATTATGATGCACTTGGAAAAGATGAAAGAAAAGGCTGGCCGTCTCCTTCAAGATCTCTATAATTATAGATAATATATCCTATTTCAAAGCAATTAGCTCAATCAGGCGTAACGAGGCACTTTGCTGCCAGGGAGTAACAATGCCTTACGGTTATTTAAGCTTCAAGATGTCAAGCAGACTTCGAGACTCTTTGCTCTGCCCAAAAGACAACTTGGCTGTCTTAGTGAAAGCCCCATGGCTAAGGCAGTGTTTTCCCTTCAGAGAAAACCCGCCGATTTTTGCAGATCTCCTGCAGAGGTGCCACCTTGCCGCCGTTTCTCCAGGCGGCCGCAGCCGGGGGTGGAGCGGGGATGCGGTATCTCCTCTGCTCCCGGCCCCCCGGCTTCGGGCCCCGCTTCCCCTCCAGCTCCGCGGCCGCGGGAGAACCGCCCCGCCGGCCAGCCGCGACCCGCCGGGCTTCCTTCCAGCCCCCGAAGTTTTACACTGCTGCTGTCGGTCCCTTTTTTTGTTTTGTTTTGGCTTTTTACCTTCAAACGCCCGCAGCTGACAGTGGTCCCAAGAGCACACACAGCATCCGACCCCCGGGTGCACCTTCCCGTGCATTAACAGCGAGCTGTCGTGTTTATTTATGTGCACACACGTGCGTGAAGGGATGAGTGCAATAACATCTGGAGCGGGGAGCGGAGTTTGAAGTGCTGAAAACCCCTCGGTCTTTCCCCAGACTGGAGAAAGGGAGCCCGAAGCGGACTGTCGCCGCCGTTT